ACAAAAGTCTAGTGCTGTTTAGGGTTTAAAACTATTTCTATGGTGTTGATATCAGTGTGCTATAACCAAGTTTAAGGAAGGAAACGCTAGCTTCTGCCTCTTAAGAACAGAGCTTTAGAACTTAAAAGGAATTGTTATAGGTCGACTCAACAGTCTTATCTTTCCTTTTCTGTGCAGAAAGAAACAAAGGTGAAATAGGCCTCTCTGATGAGCAACAATCAGATCTTGAGAATATCTTCTCACTCGATAACTCATATTTATAGGATTTTTCTGAATATGACTGTAGGATATAGTCAAGTACGAACAGGTTTTATTTCATTAATTTGAGGCTTCTGACCGAAGTTCCAAATGCAAGTGTCTCCTTGCGGCCATTGATTAGAATCTCTCCAGTTTGCTGCGTGTTTGAGCTTAATCTTCCTGCAATTTGCTCTTTCTCAGTAGCTTTCTTAATTGGAAATTTAATTAACTTTAGCAAAACCACATCATTTAACCTCTCGTCACTTAAGCATGCCTAGCATTTTTAATCATGGAAAATTCCAATTCCTTGCTATTTATAACTTTCAAACGTTCCTCTTTAATTTTTGCTGTTTTTGTCATGTAATCGTTTCCATTAAAAAAAATAAAAATAAAAAAATAAAAAGAGGAACATTTCCAAAATCACATATAGTTATTAATTCTTCTTCAACTTACATATTAAAATTTTTTTTTTTACCTGCTTTCTACTATTATGTAACTTACAGATAAGGAACAGGCTGAAAAGGCCAATGAAATAAAGAATACTTCCAAATTGTAGTGTTCAAAAATTCTTTCTTTATAGTGAAGAGGCAAATGAAGTAAACAACTTCCCAATTGGCGTGTTCAAATTATATTGTATGATTCTTTAAGTGGTCAACCCTAAATAGCAGTTGGGAAGCTACCTGCCAATGCATCGAGAAGAGTTGACTTGCCACTCCCTGAAGGACCCAAGATAGCCAAAACCTCCGCTGGCTCAGCATAGCCAGTTAGCCCTTGAAGGATAGGTCGGCCCCCGTTTTTGCCATCAGGCACTGTAACCCACAAATCTATCCACGTCAAGAGAAGGCCTTTGCCATTTCTATTTGATGTCAAACGTTCATCATCATGGTTCTTGCCTTCCTTTAGTAGTGCCCCAACTGTTTCCATCTCTATCCTTGTAGATGATGCTTCATAGGTACCTGGATAAGGAGGTGGGTCAAGACCTGTTGTAGAGCCAGTGCTAAATGGGAACATTGTGTCCATCCTTAAAGACTTGTCATCTTCCTCAGAAACTATGCTTTGCAACTCCAGGTCTTCAACACTTTCTTTCATTTTAGTAGCTGCTACAACGTTTGTTTTTGTCGCAGGCTCTTTCAGAAGGAATCTAGTGAGGCTTGGACTTGGTGTCCATCGAGGCACGTTAACTGCAGAATCCATTCTGATTAATTAGCAAAACCTATGAAGGAAATCAAAAGAGACTGATGGGGTTGTGTTTTATCAATTACAGTGGTGCTTATTGATAAAACAGCTACTTTAATTTATAGGCTTGAATTTTGTCAAAATAATCTTATTCAAATCAACCACGGCGTGTGAGAAGGCACTCTAATGTTATTCTTACGTATTTATTTTATAAAATTCACTTATTAAAAAAATACTAATTATTAAATGTATATATCATATACTAAACATATGAATTTTTTTAATAACTCTCATAAACAAAAAATATTATGAGTTTTGTTATCCAAGCAAAATATTTAGATACTTTCTTTCATTATATATACTAAATACAATATATTGGCTTATTATAAAAATTAAGAATATAGTTAAAAACTATATTGAAATGACAGCATAACTTAATATAATAAAAGTAAGAGTATAACATTGGGAAAAAAAATAGATTAACTAAAATAAAATATCTTTCTTTTGTGGATGATATTAACTTTGTTACTAATATTTACAATATAATGTATGTTAAAAGTTATTTAATTGTATAGAGTATATGCAGTGAGAGCCAAATAAGAATTAATGGTTTTGAAAACAATGCTTTTAATTCCCATTCAGATTTTTATTTTAAAATCCTTTAGCAAATATTAAAAAAAGAACATTTATTTGTGGAACTGTTAATAATTACACCATACAAGAGAGAGAGAGAATTTAAAAAATATATTTTTAAATTATATAAAAATATTCTTTTTACTTTTAGTAGAAGTGGATATAACACACTTATTTATTTTTATTTTTTTATTTGACGAAACACTAATTATTTGGTTGATTACTATTAAATAAAAAAACAAAATTTCTTTATATGTTTTGAAAAAACAAATCTCTATACATAATACAAACGAGACAAACTCGCTTTTTTTACGAGAACTAAAGTAAATATATAATAAAATTTGCAATTATATTACTTGAGGAACAACTAAATCTATAGCTGTTAATAAATTTATGCTCAAGAAATACCATTTTTAATATTGAGGATATGAGAAATTTTAAAATACTAAATGATCGGTAACGATCATACCTATTTTATGAGTTTGTTTTAAAGATAAAGAATACATAAAAAGAGAGAGAGAAAGAGAGAAAACTACACGTGGATCATAAAAAATGATAATAATATTTTTATCTAAACTTAATTTTTTAAGAGAATATTTTTTCTATTGTTCTTTTTTCGATGCGTCCATTATTTTTTATAAAGTATTAATAGTCACTTTTTAAATAATATAAAATTTCACGAGATGAGATAGCATATGCTGATTTATTTGATGTAGTTCAAACATTAACTAAATGTCCAATATAAAACTAACAGGCCATGATTGAGATATTTGCAAAAGCAATTATGCATATTTTTGCTATAATACCAAATGTATAACACTAAATAATAATTCAACAGAAAACATACATCATATATTCTTTATTTGATTTAAAATGGAAGAGAAAGAAAATTCATTGGTTTGATTTCACAAGAAGGATTAGGGAAACATTACTTTCTTACGAGAAGTATATATATATAGAAAAATAGATGGATAAGGCAAAGAGATAAGATATATAATTAATCCTAATGATTATATATTTCATAAATTAATTAGAAAAATAAATGATAAGAAATTTTATTATATTTTTTTATTACTTAATATGTTAATTAGTAAATACCTTGAATACGTACAAGTGAGAGTACTGTAATAAGTTTTGTGTAAAAAAAAATAATAAAAATATTCTTTTTTATTTTTTTAAGTAAATATTATAAATTATGGATTTAAATAAAAAAAAATCAATCTAAAAAAATCATTTTAAGTTATTGCGATTTTTCAATATGTATGAGTGAAAATTTAAAAACGGCATACTAATGTGTTAACACTAACTTTTATATTAATCTGAATTTATTTATAAAATATTTAAGTTATTTATTAATTGTGAATTTTGCTAATAATGTATTGAACTATAGTGTATTTTTATTAATTAAAAATATATAAAAATAATTAGTATATGTTAGTATATAAGTGTTTAAGTTTAAGGAATTGACATTTGACATATTTTTAATACTAAAAAAATATATTATATTATTGTGATTATAATAATTTATTTATGTATGAGATTGAACAAGTTGAAATGATATTTACTAACATGTTAAATCATCTTTATAAAAAAAACATGTGAATCGAGTGCGAAAATAATTGAATGATATAGATATCACTTATTAAAAAACTACATAATTTTAATTTTAATTATTATTAATTGGTCTGTTAACTATTAATTATGTATTTAAAATTAAAAGTTATTGAAAATAATATTAAATGATTGAAATAGTAAATTAATATAATTCTTTTACAATGAAAATTGTTGATATTAAATGTAAAATTTTTTCAATTAGAAAAAATGTATTATAAAGCATGTGACACTAATAGATTTTATAAAATAAATTTTTTGTATATGAAGATAAGGTTATTTTTAAACATTTTAACTATCAATACCAACAATACTATAAGAATTTTGCATCACACCTAAAATTTGAAAGACAAAATATTCATTAAAATAGTAAAAATCAAGCATTTTTTTTTCTTTTGTTTATACTAAAATAAATATACTTTAAGAATTAGTTATAAAATTTTGAAAAAAAAGTAGTAAGACGTACTGTTAAAAAAAAAATCAGTTAGGTTATGGATGGAAAGTTAAAGAAAACACAAACATGAAATTTTCATCAAGGATATTTATTTGTGTTTTTCTTCGATTTTCACTCTTAAACCTAATTGAGTTTATTTATTTATTTATCTAACAACAACCTAACTAAATTTAGTTTGAAATTTTATAAAAAAAAATATTTTTGTAATTATTTGTTAATTTAAAAATGGTAAAATAATTTACGGAGAAACTTCCATTAACAAAAAAGAGAGTAAAATTATAATTTCGAACACATTATCAATTAATGAAAAAATTGATGAAAGTATATGATTGATAGTTTTGAAAAAATTGATGTACTTAAACTAAAAAAATTAAAATTCATATACTCATTAAGAAAAATGATAAAATTATAATTTGGCACTTTGAGGTAACGAGACACATCATTAATTAACGAAAAAATTGACAAAGGGATACTTGATTAGCAGTTTTGAAAAAATTAATATATTCAAATAAAAAAAAATTCATATATTCGATTGAAAAAATATTAAAAGTTGATGTACTTGTAATGTAATTATCCCATAATAAAGAAAAAAGATTAAAAAGAAATTACGAATAAAGGAGGTAAAAAAAGAACTAAATATCATAGTGCTTTTTAAACTATGATTTTCTTTTGGATGCTCATTTTGAAGCAACATATTATTATGTCTATAAATAATGCGAGCACATGATAAAGAAGCTATTTTTAAAAAATAGATAAAAATAGAAAGCAATCTCTTTCGTGCTGCACCATTTGGGCTGCTACATTTATTTAATCAAAGACCAACAAAGTCCTTAGCAGTCATTATCATGAACCCATTTTTGTCCCCACAATTAATTGAATTTGCATTTTCATGGCAACCTACAGCTTTGAAAATTCATTGTTTGATAAGGCAACAAACACTCTTAGCATTCATTGTCACCAACTAATTTTTAGAATTTTTTTCCCAAAGTATGACACTTTTAAATCTTTTTTCTTAAATAAGATATTTTTTTAATTTATACCGAAGTTGGGTTATTCTTGCCAATAATAAGTTGTTTAATATTTTGACATGGAATTTAATATTATTAAAAAATTACTCATAAGAGAAAATAAATCGGAAATTATCTTCCCCTGTTGCGCTTTTTTCTTTTGTTTCAAATTAAGTCTGACTTGAGTTTTTCAATCCTGAACCTTGTTTCATAATCCTATTTTATTTCTTTTAGTAACCATGATTTGATGAGTCTTTTTTTCCCCCTTTTATCATCAGCTTGAACTTTGTTTTTAACACTAATTCTCTGTAACAAATTCTTTTTTCTCTTAACATATTTTTTTAATTCACGATAGCCATATCAATGATTGTAGTAAAATCCAAGTTTTTGTTCTTCAAATCAATACAGATTAGTCATGATTTTATATCACAAATTAATTTCCTTTTCAATTAAAAGGTATATATTATCTTTTTGCACTTAAATTTTTAAATTCAAGAAGCTTTTTGTTCTGAACTTATAATTACTTCTTAATTTCTATCTGAACTTTTTTATACAGCAAAGCATATAAAGATATAAACAAGGATTTAACACCATGAAGCGCAAAACTTGCAAATATATACATTTCTTCTCCCTTAAAAACCCGTAGGAAAACCTATCTTATGCCCCCCACTTTATTCGATCAGATAAATCTCTTCTGATTTTAACTAACTGACATCTTTTCCCATAGAAAGTATAGTAGCAAGTTGTGTTGGTGGACATTACAAAGAGAGTTCGTGATTGGTATGATTCTGTTGGCCAAAACCTATCTCATTTTATTCAGAGAGCAAATAATGGAGTTATACATAATTTTTGCTTGCAACTTTCGCAAGGTGTTATATGGTAACTGATACCAATTTTCTAGACTCACCCTTAATCAAATTCTTGGATTTATTAATGGGTTTTGCGTATTTTAAGACCTTATACAATTCGAATTTTTTTATATTTAATTTAAAAGTTTTACTCTTATATTGTTGTTATTTTAAACCTTAATAAATGATAGTTTGTCACATCATCAATTCAATCACTTAATTTGAACTCCATCATGATATATGATAAGCTGTTATTCTTTAAAAAGCTTATCACATGTACTTACGTGACATATTAAAATCGAAAACAACAACAAAATAAGAATAGAATTCTTAAATTAAATTAAAAAAAAAACTTGAGATTTCAATAAAAAAAAATTCAAATTATACGTAATCTCAATACTTGTAAAACTCATTTATTAATGTCATTAATTTTCTCAATATCAAATTCTTACTTACTAATTGCCAAAATCCACCGGTCCTTAAAGGAGGTAGCACCTCCATCGGAAGCAATGCTTTCTTGTTCACGTGGCTAACTACATATCGTTTTTGATCCAGTCCATCAAAGCAGCTATAGTTCGCTAGGCGACAGCAGTTCGCACCACATTACTTATTTTTCATTAATGAATCTACATATCTCATAGCTGGTTTGATAGAAATAGACACGCATCACATTTATAGACGACCCAGTGTAATCCACATGCACTGCATCTAAAAGGAACATGAAGTCAGCTCCTTTTTTCGTACAGTTGAAGATACTAGGTATTCATATACTCAAACGTTATTGCTGCCTCTATCTAAAAGATTGAGAAGTTAATATCGGAATGAATCTAAAAAAAACCTTATGAATTTTTTTTAAATAATTACACTATAAATATATCAATTTTTTATCTTTTTTCAATTTTAATTTTTTCATTTAAGTATATCAATTTTTTTAACATTATCAATAAAGTATTTCTGTCAATTTTTCTATTAAGTGGTGATGCGTCCGATACAGTCAAAATACTAAATTATAATTTTTTTCTTTTTTTAATCAAGTATACGAATTTTTTTTTTTAGTATATCAACTTGTTCAAAACTTTCTATCAAGTATTTCATCACTTTTTTCATTAATTGATAATGTATTCAAATATGAAATTATAATTTTACTCTCTTATTGTTAAAATAAACTTTCTCCTTAAATTATTTTATTATTTTATAATTTAAAAAATATTTTTATCCCTAAAATTCCAAATTAAACTCAATTAGATTGCTTGCTAAAAAAAATCAGTTAAGTTTAAAATTAAAAATTGAAGAAAAACGTAGATGAATCTTCCCATTGAAAAATCTCGGATTTGTGTTTCCTTCAATTTTCACCCCCAAAACCTAACTTCTTTTCTTTTCTTTCCTTTTTTTAACAACAAGCCTTACTAAGTTTAGTTTGAGATTTTATAACTAAAAATATATTTTTTAATTCTTTGTCAAATTTTAAAATGATAAAATAATTTAAGGAGAAAGTTTCTTAAAACAAAAGATGAAAAAAATATAATTTGGTATTCGGATACTTCATTAATTAATAGAGAAATTGACAAAAATGCTTGATTGACAATTTTGAAAAAGTTGACTTACTCAATCTGAAAAAATTAAAGTTCATATACTCAATTGAAAAAAAAAGATAAAATTATAATTTGGTATTTTGAGGATAACGTCGACTAACGAAAAAATTGACGAAGTACTTAATTGACGAGTTTTGAGAAAGTTGATGTACTCAAACGAAAAAAATTAAAGTTTATATACTTGATTGAAAATTCATATACTTAAATTGCAATTATCCTTCTTTTTTTTGTTCGATTTTCATGAAATATCACATTTCTAGTAATCTAGCAGCTAAATGATCATCGCCCCCCCCTCCTCAAGGTAAATTATCTTCTTTTCTAAATTAATGGGGGTAAATTATCATCCAGCAACTTGCATGTGCAGAATAAAAAAAAATTAGAAGTAAAACTAGTTACTTACCCGCACTACGTTGCGAATATGATAGAAAAAAATCATTTTAAATTTTTTTAATTATAATTTTCTATTTTATTGGTTTTTTAATTTTTTTAATAAATTTTTTGCTTAAAAAACATAAATCATTCTTCTTTATTGATTGATTTTAAAATAAAAAATATAATAATTTTAACTAAAATATTAATCAAGAATTAAAAAAACTATAAAAATATAATTTTTATAGTATTGTATTCCAAAAAATAAAGCTATAATTAAAGGATAGATTTTTACAAAAACTAATAAATGAAAAAAATTTCTTATTTAATGCTAATGAGAAGATTAATCTTTAAAATTATCCATACAACGCTACAGATTGATAGAACAAAATCATTTAAATTTTTTATAATTTGTTATAATTTTTATTTAATTATTATAATTTTTTGTGTGTTTTTCATAAATTTTTTGCTTAACAAACTTGATTTATTCTTCTTTATTTAGGGATTCTTAAATAAAAACTTGTAATAATTTAAACCTAAAATATTAATTAAGAATTCAAAAGGAAATACTTTAAAATTATATTTGTTTATAAGAATGTATCAAAAAAAATAATAATAAAGTTACAATTAATGTATAGACTTGCATAAAAATTAACCAATGAAAACATAAAAATTTATTCTTATTTAATGTTGGTCAAAAGATTTTTTTTTTAAGTATATCCATCAGATTTATATATATTTGTTTACAAAATAATGAACAAAATTAGCATAAAAAAATATATTTGAATAATTGGTTGGTTCCTTAAAAAACTTATTTTAATTATTTTATTTCAAATAAATTGGTTTTACAATGTTAAAAAAATATATTCATAGTAAATAATTTGTATTATGTTGGAAGATGTATAGTTAATTTTTAATAAAATTAACGATTCAATAGTTTTTTATATGTCTTGACCATACCTAGTGAACTGAGACAAATTATTTGAAATACGCTTTTAACCTTTTAGAATAAAATAATTATATATTTATATATGCGCAATTGTCATTTAAAAATTCTAAAAATTCATAATATATATTCTACCAATTTACTTTTTAAAAAAAGAAAAAACAATGTTTTAAAATTTTATTCTAAAATTCAAATATAGAGAAAAATAAATTATATTTATCATTAAATAAAATCTTATATAAAATATTAATTGGATGATAATCTTAAAAAAAAATGATAAATTCAAAGAATGAAATTTAAATGATAAGAACAATATAAGCTGAAGTATATATTAATTTTAAAATATAAAAAGATAATGTGTTTATATATATATATATATATATATATATATATATATATATATATATATATATATATATAAGAAAAATAAAAACTAAGGATTGAAAAAAATGTTACGACATGAGGGACAAAAAATAGAAAAAATTTTTAAATTTGCATATTAATGTCCAAAAACATACAAAAAATGACACACAAAAATTACTTAAATTGACATCATGTGAATAGTAAGAAATAAAGCAATAATTAGTATAAAAACTTGTATAAAAATTAACAAATGAAACATTTTTACTAATGAGAAGATTATTTTAAATATATATATATATATATATATATATATATATATATTTGATTTATATATATTTACTTACAAAATAATGAATAATGTTAGCATACAAAATTGTATTTGAATTATTAGGTGGTTATTCTAAAATATTATTTTAATTATTGTATTTTAAAAATATTTTAAATATTAAAAAAGTAATGGTGAATAGTTGGTGTTGTGTATAGATATATAGTTCATTTCTAATAAAATCAATGACTCTAACGTTATTATTTTTGATACATCATGATCGTACTCAACAGGTGAGAATGTATAAAATAAATTAAAAATATTTTAAAAAATTAAATGGTAAAATATATATTGAAGTTAATAGAGTTTAGTAAAAAATATATAACTAATTTTGATAGAATTTGATTATGTAAAAAATAAGAAAATAAAATTCATATATTCAATTTTTGAAATTTAATTATATAAGAATCAAGCAAATAAAAAAAGGTATTAAAAAAAATTATTCGAATCCATACATAGATAAAATAAGTCATATTTATTAATAAATAAAATTATAAAAAATAAGAATAAAAAATAACTTGATGAGAATTTTTATCGAAAAAAATGAATTTTAAACAATAAGAGTACTTTATATTTATTCTATATCTAAAAACATATTGTATAAATATAAAACATATCGTATATATTACATAATCGTTAGTTTGTGAGGAAAAAAAGTAACGATTGATTTTTTAAATTGTTTATTTTAAAAAAAAAGAACCCAAAATTGATGGAAAAAAGCAAAGAAAAAAAAAGGCCATGTATAGTAAAACAACTTGAAACAATATATATATATATATATATATATATATATATATATATATATATATATATATATATATATATATATATATAATAAAATCCAAAAAAATATCGTATAAATATAAAAAATATTGTATATGTTATATAATAGTTAGTTTGTATGAAAAAAGTAACAATTGAGTTTTTAAAAGTTTAACACCTAAGAAAAAAAAACATAAATTAATGAAAAAAAGAAAAGGAAAAAACAAAAGCCATGAGTAGTGCATCGGTTAGGGAATTAAAATTTTTATTTTAAAATTTTAGAGACCAAAATGAAACAACCTAAAAATTAAAAAAAAAAAAAAAAAAAAAAAAGAAGAAAAAAGCGAAAAATACTCGAAAAAATTTTTTTTAATTTTTTTAAAATAACACCTAATCAAATTAAAAAAACATAAATTGATGAAAAAAAGCAAAGGGAAAAAAAGGCATGAGTAGTGTTATATAATTATAAGTTTGTATGGAATAAAACAATAATTGATTTTTTAAAATTTTAACACTTAATTAAATAACAAAAGTACACAAATTGATGGGAAAAAGCAAAAAAAAAAAAAAAAAAAAAAAAGACATGAGTAGTGCATCAATTAGGGGATTAGATCTTTTATTTTAAAATTTCAGAGACCAAAATGAAATAACATGAAAATTGTTTTTAAAAAATAAATTAAGAAAAGAACCTGAACTAATAGAAAAAGGCAAAAAAAAAAAAAGGCATGCATTGTAAAAAAACTTGGAACAAAAAAACGAAAGAAGAAAAATATATCATAATAAAATCCAAAAACATATCGTATAAATATAAAAAATATCGTACATGTTATATAATCATTAGTTTGTATGAAAAAAGTAATGATTGATTTTTAAAAATTTTAACAATTATATACAAAAAAAAATGTATATTATATAATATATAACAATTATATATATTATATATATAAAGAAATAAACAAAATATATAAACAAAAAAAAAAGAATATATATGGAATTAGGTGTGAAAAAAATAAAAAAATAAATCGTTATAATTTTTAGATGATAGAAGATAGATGATATTTTTTTACATTTTAGTTTAAACATATATATTTGATTATATTCCTTTTATTGTTTAAAATTTATTTCTTAAATTATTTGTTTCTTATTGAAATTCTCATCATGTTTATTTTGGATGTGATTTTATTTGTTAATAAATTTATTTTTTTGATATATGAATTTTAGAATGAAAATTTAGAACATCATTCTTTCATTTCTTAAAAATATATTATTATAATTTATACAATAAATTCTTCTTTTTTTAAAAAAATATTTTTTTTATTTTTTAAAATATATTATTATAATTTATAAATTCGAGAGAGAGAGAGAGAGAGAGAGAGCAAGAGAAAGAAAGACATAAAAGTATGTTTTAAATAGTCGACTCATTTTTTTAAAAACAAATAATCGGTTAAAAGAATTCACAAGTTTTATTTTTACACACACAAACACATACACAAATAAATATATATACAACGTAGCCCGAGTATGTTATACTTTTCTTTTCAACTTCAAACTTTAATTGTATTATAATTTTATCGCATTTTATTTTTTATAATTATTTTTATTATTTCAAATTTACTACTTTAATTTGTCATTCTTCTTTTAAATTCTCATCCAATTAATTTAAAATTATATGGTTCTCAAATTTTCTACATAATATTTTTTTAAAAAAATTAAACTTTAATTGTATTATGATTTAATTCCATTTTGTTTTAATAATTTTTTAATTTTTTAATATTCAAAATATATAAATTTAATTTTTTATTTTTTTAATTCTTATCCACTTAATTTCAAATTATATTTAATGACAGTTTTGATTTATTTTAATATTATTCATTCTTTTCTCATCCAATTAATTTAAATTTATATGGCCCTCAATTTTTTGATACAATTTTTTTTATTTCAAACCTTAATTGTACTTGTGATTTTGTCCCATTTTGTTTTAGTGTTTTTTATTGATTATTTTTATTATTTAAAATTTACTTTTTTAATTTATCATTTTTTAAATTTCTCATCCATTTTATTTAAAATTACATTAAAATATTTAAAATATTTTTTCACCTTTGATTTCATATATTTTGATATATTGACATCATAAAACGGACTATCAAACTAAAATAATTTTATATATTTTATTCAACCTACGAGTGTAGCACGGGTAAAAAATCTAGTATGAGCTAAAATATATGTTAATTTTAAAACATAAAAAGATAACACACACACACACATGCTGTGTGCAAAAAAAAATTGAAAGCTAAGGATTGAAAAAGAATGTTTCAACAAGAGGGATGAAAATAGAAAAAAGTGTTAGATCCGCGCATTAATGCCCAAAAACATTAAAAAAAAAAACTACGCATAGAAATTACTTAAATCGCTATCAAGTGAATAGTAATTTTATGCATATAAATGGCAAGTGAATAGGAATTTTAGGCATATGAGTAGTTTTGATTCTTTTGCTATACTGTGGATCAAACAAAATATATTTATTTAAGTTTGATAATATATACTATGTTGTTGGTTAACTAAAATATATTAAATTAAATATAAAAGAAAAATTTTTATCTAATTTTATAATTTTTAATCAAAATTTGTATCTATTCAATTTTTTTATGTTTTCAATAATTCTTAAAGTAAAAAAATATGATTTGTTCTTTTTTATGCATTTATTCCTAAATAAAAACCCATAATAAAAATATTTTAATGTATATTTTTTTAAAAAAAAGTCTTAATAGTCCTTTTAATAATATTGCATCGAAGAAATGAAGCAACAATTAATATAAAAACTTGTATGAAAATTAATTAATAAAGTTTTTTTACCGATGAGAAGATTTTTTTTAAAATACGTACATTTAATTTACATATATATATTTACAAAATAATGAATAATATTAGTATAAAAAATTATATTTGAATTATTAAGTGGTTATTCTAAAATATTATTTCAATTATTTTATTTAAAAATAAAATGTAAAAAAATAATAGCAAATAGTTGGTGTCGTGCATATAGATGTGTGGCTGATTTCTAGTAAAATCATCAACTCGATGTTATTATTTTTTATACATCATGACCACACTCAAAGGGTGAACAGTGTTATCACTATTTAAAAACCCCATGTGTTTTAGAGTATTAGTAATATTCTTTACACCTTCGTTGCTATATGATGATAATTCTTTCAATATGGATAATAATTACGGATAAATTATGTATAAAAAATAGAAACAAATATGCTTATATTTTATGCTTTTCCACTCACGAATCCATAATATTTTGCACAGATATGCAGTAACTCTTTAAGCCATGCTTGGCTCTATTTCATGCAAGCCAAATTTTTTTATGTAGGGATTTAGTTGCAAAAAAAAAAAAAAAAACAAAGGGACTAAAATGTATTCTTAAAACAAATACATGGAGAACAAAAATTCCATTTGAGGACTTATTTGAAAAAAAAATCTATTTCAGGATTAAATAGTTTTGTAAAAATTTAAAGGGGTTATAAATAATATATTTTTAATGGATTTGGGTTGGTTTAATTTGGATGGCTATGGTTTCGATATGGGTTTGAAGAGTGATTTTTCAGATAGATCAGGTGTGACCATAACATATTTCAATGGATGGGACATGGAATTGGCTTACAAATTAGGCACTGAAACCTATTATCATCCTTACATCCATCTTTCCCCTGAAATTCTTCCTCACAAATGGGTTTTTTTTTTTTCCAGGAAAAACCGATCCATTTAATACATCATTTTTGCCACATTCTCTCATAAAAAAATCAATTAAACATAACCTATAATTTATTCATTTTTTAAATATGTCTTTCTATTATTTTTTTCCCATCAAATCTAACACTTGCATGGATTATATTTTAGTACGAACTAGTCGCTTGCTTGCGCTATGCTGCATATCCAATAGAAAAAAATGATTGTAAAATTTTAAAATCTTTATTATAATTTTTTATTTAATTTAATTTTTATGTTTTGAAATTTTCTGCTTAAAAAAAATAAATCATTCTTCTTTATGAATTGATTTTAAAATAAAAAAATATAATAATTTTAACTAAAATATTAATCAAGAATTAAAAAATTCCAAAAATAAAGTTATAAAAAATTAACAAATGAAAAAAAATTCTTATTTAATGCTAATGAGAAAATTAATTTTTGAAATTATCCGTGCTATGCTACGGGTAGAAAACAACAAAATCATTTAAAATTTTTAAAATTTTTTCATTATTTTTTATTTAATTATTACAATTTTTTGTGCTATTTGATAATTTTTTTTGCTTAAAAAAATGATTTATTCTTCTTTATTTAATGATTCTTAAATAAAAACTTATAATAATTTAAACCTGAAATATTAATTAAGAATTCAAAGAAAATATTTTAAAATTATGTTTTTTTATAAGAATGCATCCAAAAAAAAAAGAAAGTCACAATTAATGTATAGACTTGCATAAAAATTAACCAATGAAAAAAAATATTCTTATTTAATATTAGTGAGAAGATTTTTTAAAAAACATATATACATTAGATCTATATATTTTTATTTACAAAATAATAAAAAAAATTAGCATAAAAAATTATATTTGAATAATTGGTTGGTTCCTTTAAAAAATTATTTTAATTATTTTATTACAAAAAAATTTGTTCTATAATGTTAAAAAAATATTCAAAGAAAATAATTTTATTATGTTGAAAGATGTATAGTTAACTTTTAATAAAATTAATGATTCAATAGTTTTTTTTATATGTCTTGACAATACCTAGTGAACTGAGATAAATTATTTAAAATATACTTTTAACCTTTTAGAATAAAATAATTATATATTTATATATGCGCAACTATCATGTAAAATTTTTAACAATTCATGATACATATTATACTAGTTTATTTATTTTTTTAAATCATGTTTTAAAATTTTATTCTAAAATTCAAACATAGAGAAAATTAAATTATATTTATCGATAAATAAAATCTTGTATAAAAAATATAAATTGGATGAGGATTTTCATAAAACAATGATAAATTCAAAGAATGAAATTTAAATGAACGAGTAATATAAGCTGATGTATATGTTAATTTTAAAATATTAAAAGATAGTGTGTGTGTATACGCTATGTGAAAATGAAAGAAAAATGAAAACTAAGGATTGAAAAAAAATGTTACGAGCATAAGGGATGAAAATAGAAAAAAGTGTTAAATTTGCATATTAGTACCCAAAAACACACAAAAATTACTTAAATTACCATCTAGTAAAGTAATTTTATGCATATGAATAGTGAGTGAATATGAATTTTAGATATATGAATTGCTCGGATTCTCGCTCTATGCTTGTGGAACAAACTAAACATATTTATGTTAGTTTGATAACATGTGCTATGTTATCGGTTAATTGCAATATATATTAAATTAAATATAAAAGATAAAATCTCATCTAATTTTATAATTTTTTATTTAATATATATAAGTAAAAAAAATATGATTTGTTCTTTTTTATGCATTTATTCTTTAATAAAACCCATAATAAATTTTTAAAAAATATATCTTAATATTTTTTCATTACATTTGATTTATATATATTTATTCACAAAATAATGAATAATATCAGTATAAAAAATTGTATTTAAATTATTAAGCGGTTATTCTAAAATATTATTTTAATTATTTTATTTGAAAAAATCATTTTAAATATTAAAAAATAATAATAAATAGTTGGTATTGTGTATGTAGATGCATAGTTGATCTCTAATAAAATCAATGACTCTAATGTTATTATTTTTAATACATCATGACCATACTCAATAGGTGAAAATATATAAAATAAATTAAAAATATTTTAATGATAAAATATATATCTTGAAGTTAATAGAGTGCAGTAAAAACTATAAAACTGATTTCCATAAGATTTGATTATGTAAAAAATAAGAAAATAAAATACATATATTCAATTTTTAAAATTTAATTATATAAGAATTAAGTAAATAAAAACAGGTATTAAAAAAACTTATTCAAATCCATACATAGAGAAAATAAGTCATATTTGTTAACAAATAAAATTATAAAAAATAAAAATAAAAATTAACTTTATGAGAATTTTTATCAAAAAATCAATTTTATACAATAAGAGTAGTTTATATTTATTCTAAAATCTAAAAACATATCGTATAAATGTAAAAAATATCTTATATATTATATAATCGTCAATTTGTGTAAAAAAAGTAATGATTGATTTTTTAAAATTTTCACACCTAATTAAATAAAAAGAACATAAATTGATGAAAAAAAAAGCAAAAGAAAAAAAGGCATGAATAGTGTTATATAATCGTTAGATTGTGCAAAAAAAACAACGATTGATTTTTTAAAATTTTAACACCTTATTAAATAAAATAAAAACATAAATCGATGAAAAAAAAAGGCATGAGTAGTGTATCGGATAGAGAATTAAAATTTTTATTTTAAAATTTTAGAGGCGAAAATGAAATAACCTAAAAAACATTTAAAAAATAAATAAATATAAAGAATTTAAGAGATCAAAATAAATAACCTAATTTTTAAAAAAAAATAATTAAAAAAACCTATGAGATCAAAATGAAACAACATGAAAATTTTAAAAATAAAATAAAAAGGAGCCTAACTTGATGGGAAAAAAAAAGAAAAAAGAAAAAAAAAGACATGCATTCACAAGAACTTCAAAAAAAAGAACGAAAAAAAAAAGTGAACTTAAAACAAAAAGAAGGAAAGAAAAGAAAAAAAATGAATAGTACTCGGAAAAAAAAAGGATGTGAACAGTTTATCACTATTGATAAACTGTTCAAAACTCTCATGCCTTTCAGTGTATTATTAATAATGACTTAAACCGGTTAAAAAAATATGTTAAAAAACAAATAAATGGTTTAAATAAAAAAATTGTCAGAAAAAATAACTCGCGAGCATAATAAAAAATACTACAATTAATTATTTTTTGTATACCAGCATATTGAGGGAAGAAACAAGTACGTGGCTTGTATTTGCCTGCGCATCCAACAGGAACATTACACAGTAACCTAAAACTCTTTAACACCTATTATTATTAGGCAAAATTTTCAATGCCGTTGCCTTTTAAAACATGACACGTGGCTTATATTTGTTTAGTGAGCGCGTGACCAAATGGGAAAATCAGTTGCCCATTCCAGAAGATAAGAACTCATTCCCTTTCACTAATGAGTTATCGACAAGTGGCAAGAAAAAACTCAGAGAGCGCGAGGTTCCAGATGAGAGAGAGGAGGAGTTAATTATAAGTTAGTCTCTGCCGTTTAACAAAATTAATGAAATAGTCCTTGTAGTTCAAAAACTATTATCTCATCCTTATATTTTTAAATCCACAACTTAATTCTTTTCTTAGATTTTTTGTTACTTTTCAATTCATTTTTTTTCTTTCATAGACATAAAAAAAGAAAAGAATATATAAATAGGTGAAGTGAGAAATTTTGATTAGAGAATAAGATATTTTTTGAACAAAAAATTACTAAATCAAGTGTGGTCATCTTCAGAAAAATTATTAATTGATCCTTTTTTATACTAGATAGGCTAATTAATTAATTTTGATTAATTACAAAAACCAAGTTATAATTAACTCGAAAGAGGAGAGAGAATGGAGAATAATTAACTCGAAAGAGAAGAGAGAATGGAGAAAAATGAATTGCTCCAAAACTTTGAATCAAAATTAAACCGTTTCTAAAAATAATTCTTTACAATGATCATAGGCATAGTTTCCATTATCGAGCGAGCACGAGTTTCATTCGAAATTTAACTTCAAGTTTGCAAAATTTTAACCATTTTGATTAAATAAATCCCATCACATCTTATTCGATGTTTTGAGCTTTGATTTTATATATTATTTTATGATTTTAACTGAGTATTTAATTAAAAATCGAAACAAGAAAAAATACTTAAATAAAATTGTTTTTACAATAAATTCTTAATTGCTCTTGATGTTTTCATGTTTTATTCTAATAGTTGATGGGAATTATAGGAAAAACATTAATGTATGGTTTAATCTTAATGGATTTTAAAATATTGAAAAAATTGATATAAAAAAGACATAATAATTGAATTTATACTAAAACATAATAAATACACTTAAAAATATAAGGACATACTGAGATTAGACTAATTGTACGAGGATAAATTGTGTCATTTACTTAATATAAAATTTCATCTTGGCATTTAGTATCATTATATCACGAAGAAACTAATGTATTTATTTGATATATATCATTAATAATATCATTATCTATTAAGTAATATATACGTAAGAATCAAAACGAAGAACTAAATTGCAATAAAAATCATTTAAGATCAAGATGCAACGTAATTACGCTCATAAAATTTAAATAAATTTTGCAAGTTTAGTAAATTGCTTGGAGGAGATTTAGATGGGAGTTGTGATGCGGGTCAAAATGTATATTTTTATAACTCTATGGCCTAACTAGTATTTTTAGAGAATAGGTGGTTGAGAGGAAAAGAAAAAAAGTATTGTTTTTGATTACTATAAATGAAATATTGAAAATAAAAATACATAACTTAAAATCAAAATTAAAGAATCAAAATGATTTTTTCATTTCAGTATTGTGTTTCGAATAGTAATTCAAAATCGAAATGAAATTTAAAATTTTTAATATATATTTTTTAAAAAATTAAAAAAATAATTTTAACGACTATGATAATAGTAAAAATGATAAATGTGATTACGATAAAGGTGGAGGCAATGGAAGAGGAAGAGAAAGAGGTGGAGGTGGTGGTAATAATAATAGTATAATAATACAAATAATATATTTTTTTTAGAAAAATCGATAATACCACCATAAGAGGTGGCGATGAAAAAAAGAAGAAAGATTATTGGTGGTTGTTAGAAATGAGCATTATTCAATTTAAATAAAAAAAAATGAATTGAAATATCAGTTTCAGTTCAATTTTTAACTAAAAAAATAAAAAAGAACCACATTTGTTTGGTTTCTTGATTCGGTTTGGTTTTTGAAACTTTTAGTTCGATTCAAATTGAAATCCCATTTTTAATTTTTTTTTCAATTTTTTAAGTTTTTAAATAATGCAAAAAAAATAAAAAATCAATACCTTAGCATTATTATAGATATGTGATAGATTGATTGTATTTCTAGTCTATTTATATTATTTTAAAAAATAACAAAAAATTAGTTTAAATTAAAAAAACCAAAATTTTGGTTTTGAAACAAAAAAAAAAAAAAGAAAAACAAATAGTAATTCATTTTTTTTAAGGTTCGATTAATCAAAAACTGAATTGAAATTATTAAAAACCAAACGATTACTTTTAATGATGGTGGTACTATAAGAGTAGTAATGATAATAGAAGTAATTATTTCGCAATAAATACAAACAATATATCATTATTTTGAAAAAGAAAAAAAATCCATTATCATTTCTTAGTTTTATTCCCACTTTTTTTCATCGGCATGAAACTATATTTAATTTTATTTTTCATTTTATTTTCTTAAATCAAATATCTATAAGAAGAATAAAAATTTTCATTTACATTCCAACAATTTCATTCATTGTTACCAAACTGAAGAAAAACCTGGTGCATGGGTTAACGGTTTCTGGTTTATTTTATTGAATGGATGAGATTGAAAGATTCTAATCTAATGATGTGGAGCGGCAGCGGCATTTCAGATCAGCATCGGCATTTTAAAAGTAAAGGCACTGTAGTTTTCAACTTTGGAGATATCAAGATTTTGACCCGCTAACCAAAGCAGACAACTCACCCGGACTTCCGCACCCTACACCTCCTTACTTTCACTCACCCCGCTATCTCTGTTCTATCAACCAAAATCTCGTTTTTTTTTTTTTGGTCACATCACCAAGTCAATACAATTTATTTTATTTTCTTGTTTTTTTTTTTTTTTGACATAACCACAATTTAATTCTTTAAGAAGAACAAGATAAATTATAAATTAGTCCCTTTAATTTCAAAAAAATAAACTAGTTAATAACTTTTGTTTTAAAAATTAATTATTTAATTCTTATATTAAAAAAAAAAAAGCATATCAACCATCATGGTTAAAAAAAAGAAAAATACACTTCAGTCCTCGTAATAGGCTAATATCTTTGATAATAATAATAGTAAATTCTTCACAATGGCTAAACACCTATAACTCTATGCAATTTGACTTGATAAGACACTACATATGAGCTTCGTCACAAAGTGAGAAAGAGAGATTGTCTTAGAGCAACATTGATTGTCTTGGAGCAACATAAATGGCAGCTTTGATGATTGGTTTAACCTTTTCAATGAGTTTAATAATTCCAAAAAACATGAGACGATAAAGAACCACCATTCCTAACATGATGCCAAGATCAATCCATTTAGAATAACCCATTTCTACTTGTCAAGTATTTTTCAGAATTTCTTCACCAATAATGATAGGTGGCCCTCCTGCTAGATTATTAGGGAATGTCAATCCTTCAAATTCATTCTTGTAGAACCACGGGTTCGCGTACTTATGGAATGCAATGTAGTACATTAGATATCTCCGGAAAGGCTTAGGAAGATCATCTGGCAACCGAAAAAATCCTCCATTTTGTAACAAAACAGGAAGATAGAAAAGCTATTTACTAGAAAGATAAAATGTGTTATTAATCACCACGAAAAAAGCAGTTACATCTACCGAATTTAAAGAGCTTATCTAACAAACTATCCTATAAAGGCTCCAACTATTAGCATAGGATAATACTAGAAACTTATCCGGTTTATTTGCATAATAATAGAAAAAATAATCATACCACTTTAGGGATAAACATTGACTTAAACAACCTACTACAACTATTGATCGAAACAACTAATTGTAAATAAATATCCAGGAAGTTGCACTAATTTTTAACACTCCCCCTTAGTGCAAGCTTCCCATCAACAACTCTTAGAGCATCTCGAAAGCATTGAAACTTAGGCTTCACCAAAGCCTTAGTGAATATGTCGGCCACTTGATCGTTGGTGCGGACATTTGTTAGCTTAATCTCTTCACTTAAAACTTCTCACGAATGAAGTGATGTCGGACCTCAATGTGCTTTGTTCAAGCATGAAAAGCTGGATTTGATGTAAGTTTATAGCACTTTCGTTGTCACAGTTGATTTGTACTTGCATAATTAGCTTCACCCAACATGTCTCCAATCAGCCTCTTCAACTAAATGCACTCTTGTGCAGCCACGGTTGCTTGCCACATACTCGACTTCGGTGCTAGACAAAGCAACGATATCTTGCTTTTTGTTGCACCAGAAACTACTTGTTGAACCGGTGTTAAAACAATAACCCGAAGTTTAATGACGATCATTTGTATTTCTAGCCCAATCAACATCGGTAAATCCACTCAACATAAAGTTGCTACACCTCTTGTGTATAAGACCATAACTAAGAGTTCATTTCACATACTGCAAAATCCTTTTTGCGGCATCTAGATGAGGAGTTCTAGGACTCTGCATAAATTGAGAAATAACACTAACGAGTGTGAAATTTACGGCCCCGTAATGGTGAGATAAACTAAGCTTCTAACAAGTTGTCGGAACTTCCTCGCATACTCAATAGCTTCCCTTCATCTTTCTTCAACTTAAGGTTTGGCTCTATTGGAGTAGCCTTTTCTTTCGACTCCTCATGCCAAAACGTTCCAAGAAACTATTAGCATAGTCTTTTTGAGAAACAAAATAACCTTGATATGATTTTTTCACTTCTAGACCAAGAAAACATCTAATCTCCCTAAAAATTTTCATCTCAAAATGAACGGACAAGTCATTTCGCAAATTAGAAATTTTTGATTCATTATCTCCGATTATTATCATATCATCAACATATAATAATACCGGGAGATGCATATTTGATTTAGATTTTATAAATAAACTAGAATCCGAATCAAAAACTCTAAAACCATAAAAGATGAAGTATTGAGCAACTTTACCATACCAAGCTTTTAATGCTTGCTTTAGGCCATAGAGCGCTTTCTTCGGACGACGGACATGATTCGAAAATTGTTTAGAGACAAAACCATGAGGTTGTTCCATAAATGCTTCACGATCCAATTCTCCATAAAGGAATGCATTCTTTACGTCAAGTCGTCATAATTTCTAACCTCTAAAAGCGAGTAAGTGAAATAAATGTCCTCATTGTCACCATCTTTACTACCGAAGCTGAATGTTTCCTCATAGTTCAATCCATAGCTTTGTGAGAACCCACGAACAACTAGATGGGATTTCAACTCGTCAACGGTGCCATTTGATTTTTTCTTTAAGCGGAAGACCCATTTACAAGTGACTAGCCGACACCTATGAGGTTTGAGTACCGGCTCCCATATCTCTTTTTGTCTAGAGCATCAATCTCTTATTGCATTGCTCTTTCCTAATTTGGAAAACCCTTAGTTTCTTCATAACATGTTGGTTCTTCTATAGTTAATACTCCCGTAAATAAACATGCGGTAATAGAACAATTGTTAAGTTCTACCTCATAATGTTTGAGATAGTATATCCGTCTTTTCTCCCTTATTGACTTTCTCACAATTTGTTGCTCATCCTCTTCTTTTCGTGTGATGTTCGAACTTGGGATTCATTTTCCACCTCTTCATTACAAGGTGCTTGCACATTTGCTTCAGGAAATAGGAACTCCAAATTGTCTTGATCATCACCAAGAGTAATGAACTTTTGAGCGAGAAAATAGAGATGACACTTCATTAAATACCACATCTCTAGAAGTAGTAAACTTCTTTGTCTCTAAACCCACATACCTCCAGCCACTTTCTATAAGAGTCATAGCCAACAAATACACACTTCCTTGCTTTTGGGTCTAGTTTGGTTCTATTAGATTTAGGAACATGAACATAGCAAATAGAACCAAATACCCTAAAGTAATTCACATTTGGCTTTTCACCATATAAAATCTCAAAGGGAGATTTTTGTGTACTGGCCAAGGAGGCGACCTATTTGTCATAAAACATGCATATTGAAGAGCTTTTGCCCAAAGCTCTCAAGGAAGATTCTTGTCACGCAACCATGAAAGACAAGCCGAAACAAGATAGCCAAGCTTCCTTTCCGTAACTCCATTCTCGCTGTGGAGTGTCCGGACAAGTCATTTGACGAAGAATGTCGTTTTCATCACAATATTGAAAGAAGTTATCCGACATGTATTCCCCACCATTATCACTCTAGAGACATTTTATCTTCTTCGCGAATTCTTTTTCAACAACATTTTTGAACTCCATACACTTGGATAGAGCTTCAATCTTTTCTTTTCAAGAATTTCACCCAAGTGAACCTTGAATGATCATCCACCAACACCATAAGATAACGATGCTCGCTATAACTTGGTGTTCTTATTGGTCCCATCAAGTCCGTATGAACCAATTCAAAAAATGTGGATATCGGATTTGATGAATTTTTTAAAGAAAGACGATGAGATTTACCATATTGGCGACCTTGAAAAATCACATCTTCACATACATTCTTCAAAGTTGGCATACCATTTACTAACCTCTTAGAAGAAATTTATCGCAACATTTGGTAGCCTATATGACCTAACCGAGCATGCCAAATTGCATCATTATCGGTTTGGCTTGTTTTCTTCACATAGGCTTCACTGTCGACATAACGAACAAAGAGCTTTTCTTCTTGTCGATAAAGATAACATCAGCGAGATATATCTTTCACATTATCTAGTACTTTCACATCATTTGGACCAAACAAGACATATTTTCCATAATCGGTAATTTGAGGAGCCGAAACTAGATTTTTCGTTAAACCCGAAACATGATAAACATCATGCAACTTGACACTTTTGGTTGTATCATCGGCAACATTATTGCCACAATACCTTCTTTCTCTACTAGATAGGTTGAGTTATCTATAATAATAATAAATCGATCTTCATAGTGTTCTCGCACCTCGGAAAATAGATTGTCATCTCCGGTTACATGGTAAGAACATCTTGAATCAATGATCCACTCTTCCTTCTTATTGTTGGCATAGTTGACAAAAGCTTGGGTTGACTTTTGTTTGACGGTTTTAATGGTAAAATATTACTCCCATTTGAGTTGATCATCTCCTTCGCTTATGCAAGCAACGTTGGCTTTGGCAATCTTTACCCAACGAGTTTTTCTTGATATGCCCAACTTTGCCACATCCGAAACATGTAATAGTTTTCTTACTTTGTTGGTTGCCACCTTTCTTTACACTGGAGTCTTCTTCTTCATTCTTGTTCCGGGATGTATTCTTTTTGTTTGGCTTCGCTTTTGAAAAGAAAACGAATCAAATTTGAAATTCTTCGCCATTTATTTCACTAAAGCTTCCGATTAGAGAAAAAATTCTCTAACTCTTCTATAGAGGGTTGCTTTGACCACCCTTGAATAGAGGTGACGAATGGTCCGTACTCCTTCTTCAATCCACGAATAAGATAGCAACGTAAACGATCTTCGTTAATTTTCTCATCCGCGTCTATCCGTAAAATTTCAGCACAAATACTTTTAACTCGTAAGAAGTATTCGAAATTGACATACCTTCCTACTTTAGCATTGCCAACTCGTTCTCCAACAAGCTGCAACCTTGCGATATTCTTCTTGGTAAATAGCCTTTCAAGTGTTTCCCAAACTTCCTTGGGAGAGTTAACATTACGAACATGATCAATGAACCCTATGCTAATGGATGTTCTCGAGGCAAAGAGAGCCTTTACGCACTTGATCTTCCACTTTCGTCTTGGTTCGACATTCCGTGGAGT